TTTTTTTTTTGTTCTACCCTGATTTATTTTTTGGCTATAAAACTGTGTAGATATTTAATGGTAAAATAATTGATATACAGCAATTTTGTTTATTGTCAAAGAATGGTGTTAAAGTTGTCGCCGATTAGTTAACTATTGTTAAAGTTGCAGTTGAACAGTTCTTTATGCTTATTTGCGGGTTTACTGTTTTCTAAGATAATCACTTTTAAATCACTATGAACACAACACAACACACACACACAAACCTACAAACGCATATTTCCGTTTTGTCAATTTTTTTCAATATTTCACCATTGACGTAATCAGTTTTAATTGAAATGTTGAAGGCGTATGTAACAAATGTGATCAATAAGCTCAGATTTCTTTAGCACATAAACTATATTAAATTTATTTGCATTAACTTAAAAGTACTTAAAAATTTGTTAATCAGACATCGTTTAACAAGCATAACAAACAGTAATTTTTTTTTTCCTTTCAACAATACAACTGTCACTTTCCTCTTGTCTTGTCCTTCCTTAGTGAAAGAACCTCTATTTCTTCAAAAAGTTAGAATGATGTGCTTGGTTACAGAGACCGCATTTGTCTTTCTCACCCTTCAATTCATCTTTAAAAAGCTTTGAAAAGATTATCTTAGCTCACACTTAAGATCGTTGAAGCGCACCTTTCAGTAGAGATTCAAACTTGTAATTGTTGATGTTAAGCAAGCTGCAAAAGTTCAACAGTATTTCTAACAGCTATTTAGGACAGATATTTGATAAGTCCAAAGCTGATGCAATTGCGAAAACGCATATTTTTCTGCTCATTTTTTTTTCGTTTGCTTAACGCACTTACACTATCCGTCTAAAATATGCAATTATTTTTTTTTTTTTTACTACGGCTTTCTAAAGCTCTTGTTCCAGTAAGTATCTGTTCTATTTGTTTGTTTTTAAACATATTCATTTTTAATGCTTGGAGAGAGTAAAAAAGAATTTTGTTTAAGTAAATCTGCACCTTTTGCGAAACAGAAATTAAGTACAAGTTGTATGAGTATTTCTTAAATTTTAGAGACTGAATATCGCAGAGTCACAAGTTTTTTTATAGAAGAAGTAGCTAAAAATAACAATAAAAAAGATTTTTTTGAACTGGTCATAAATTGCAACAGTTTCTGAGTCTTATGCTGTGCTAAGAATTTCTGAACTAAACAGTGGTATTCATCGAGCATAAACAAGTGACCAATCTGCTTCTGAACAGTAACGGGTATATATTATCGACCTAACAGGAGAAAAAGAGCATAGTAGAAGATAGATTTTAAGTTAATTGAACGATTAAAACAGTTAAAATAACGAAATAAAAAATAGAAAAAGAATAAGTATTTAATTTATATAAAAAGTTAAAAACTTTTCAATTTATTATCCAATTTAAAGTAAAATTCTAGAACAAACAGATAACAACAACATTGTCAGGAATTTAAAAAAAAAACTATATTCGTCTTACTTTCCACTACTTCTCAGCCTTCCTTAACCATTCTTCTTTGCTTCGTGTAAACAATTTCATTAACTTGAATCTTTTCTTCGTTTTTGTCCAAGAAATTCAACACGGAAAATGACTTACGAAAATGAAAGCCTCGTTGAACAGAGTTACTCAATGACAAATGAAAATCTGCCAGCAGTCTAGACAGAACATTGAGTTTTTTTATTAACAAACGTTAAATTCGTGTGAAAACATAGGTCACAAAAAAGCTCATTTAAAAGTTACATATTTTTACCTATGTGTGACTATTTAGCTGTTGATAGAATGATGTAAAAGATGAGGTAATAAAAAAAGAAATTAAACTATTCTTGAACTTATTAAGGCAAATAATGACGCGCATTTGGTTAACCGCTTTTGTCAGCAGTCCAAATTGGTTAAGCATTTATAAAGATTGCGCTAGAACTATACACATTATTTTTGGGAAGTTAGTTGTTCACTGAATGGTGCATAAAAATATATTGATACTCTGTGAAATAATACGTGCAGTTTGGTGATGGTAAAATTGGTTGCTAAAATATTAAAGCTTAAAAAAACTCATAGAAATCATCAATCGTCTTTTACGGGTTTATATAAAACGGTTAGGAAG